CCACTTCAGAACTCAAGTCACGGGGCTATTGACCTGTCCGACGTGGACCCAGAATGTTTTGCCTGAGCCTGAAGGGTCCAAACAGACATTTTCAGAATGGCCTTCCACTCGCTCTCAGAGAAGCCACACCTGAGAAAAACCCGCTCCACTTCCTTAAGGCCTTGAGCACTTCTGTTTTTCTTTTGGCAGGTGAAATGCTTTTAAAAAAATGACAGAGCCAGGTCTCAGGGCTCTGAGAGGCGGATACTTTCGCAGGCTGGCATTTCCTTGGTAAGGTATGGGCCTCCTGTCCCTGTGTCAGCTGCACAATGCCGGGCATTCACTGTGCACCCACCCGCTGCCCACTGGTACATATCATTAACTCTTGTGCTCCCATGGGTGGCTTGTGGTCCATCCACACCTTCTGGGAACTGGTGGTCTTCCACCCCAGCGGGCGGGCACCCTGGGGAATAAGAGCAAATGGACTAGGAGCATAAGCAAAGCACAACCGGGGGCTGCAGCAGTCAGCAGCTGCCCTCGCTCAGCTCCCGTAGCCCCAGGCACCTAACATGGGCTCGGCCCTGGGCTACCCCAATCAGTAGAACCACCAACAGGTTTGAGGGTACCTCAGCAAGTTCAAGGGAAACAGAATCCAAAGCGAAGTTCATTTGGGTGCAAAAAAGAAAAAAAAAGAGAAATCCGTAGGGTTTTTTTATAATATCCATTATCCCATGAATTTTTTTGAAGATCCCTCATACATACCCAAAGATAAGTACTGTGATTTGGGAAGACTAGAAATTGTTTTCTTGATTAACATGATTCGCTGTAATCCAGAAGTGAAACACACATTTTGCAGAACGAGGAATCTGCTGAGACTCAAGTATTTCTATTTGGCCCAATCACAGAGGGTCTTCCCTTTGCCTCCTTGAGGTGCCAGCTCTCGCAGCTGGCCATCAGCTGGCAGAGACTGGGCTGTTCCCAGAAATGCCACCCCCCACCCTCTAAAGCCAAAGGCGGGAGGGTCCGCGGGAGGGTCGAGAGCGCAATCCTATCTCCTAGCCTGTCCGTTGACTTGGGTTTTGTGTTTTATAAACACAGAAACTGCAAACATCGAAACACACCCACAAATCATTTTTATGTAAACCATGTTCCTTGGATGACAAAAAGTGAAGATTCCTGCTGGGGGTGGGGAAATGCTCATACTATACATGGGAGTCCCATAAACTGAAGGGGGGGGGGGCTGTGGTTTTTTTTTTTTTTCCTCCAGGTGTCTTTAAACCACTACAGAAAGTGGAGGAAAGGCAGAGTGGGGGAGTGCTTTTTGTGTCTTTTGTAATCAGTTTACTTTTGGTTGTACAAGAGATGATATCTGGAACTCCCTCAAGTCAGTGTCTATTGCAGAATCTGGATTACAAAAGTGGGGAGGGGCCAGGCCTCCGATTCCCACGCGGCCGGCTCCCCCGCAGTGGTGTGAGGACACCGATGGGGAAGTGCTCCCTCTCCACTTTCACCGGACTGCTCCTGCCCAAGCCTTTCTCAGAACAATGGAGAAGAGATTCTTGGAGGAGAGGTGCTCGCCTCCCCCTAGATGCTGAGAGAGGAGCCAGCCGGGAAAGCCGCAATCTGACATCAGGCCAGCTCAGCCCGGCTCGGGAGTGTTTCTCTGACAGGATGGTTCAGACCACACACACCAAGTGGCAAGGGGCCCTTTCCCCCAAACCTCCCCAGCAAGAGCCGTTTGCAACAACCTGACGTGGCAATTAAACAACTATGATCATTTCTCCAGTGAGGGTGTGAAGGCCAAGTCATCTCTGCATTGCCACTGTGGAAAATCGCAACCCAGTGGCTCTCTGGAGCAGGTGGCGGGGAGGCCTGACTCACACACACCTCGCATGGTACCAAACCAGAAAGGCAACATCATCACAAGACACAGAGACGGCTCCCAAGAGGAAAAAGCTCTCTCCCCATCAGGCCAGCCACGGAAATGTTCCAATCCAACCTTGAACTTGGAATCGTTCTGACAAGCACTCCAAGCTGCATTTCATGTCTCCACTGTCACTTCTTACAAGTTTGGCACACAAATTCCAGATTCATACAACAACCTAGCCCTTTGCTAAGTCCTATGAGTCCCCCATCAAAGGCCCCACCTTACACCTGTCAGTGTAAGTTTTTCTAGGATTATGGAGCCCCTGGGGTAACCTAATCACAGTTTTACTTGAGCCTAGGTTCAACTTCAAGAAAAACTTCCTTCCCCTCTCCAGTACCCCCTAGATCCACTCCTGAAAAAATCAGGAGGGGACTTGTGGTGGAGCTGGACACCTGTCTGAACCAGGCCACTACTTTTCTATAGCAGTTAAAGTGCAATCGTTTGGGACATGATTTTCATCTTGATATCAAGAGTAGAATTTGGAAAGCAACTACAGTCACTTATAAGTAATTCCATCTAGTTCAACTTTACAAGTTTAAATCATTACCGAGATTAGCTTCGATTACTGGAATCAGAACGTAGTTATCAGGTGAAGGAAAAAACCTGACTTAGTCACCAAAACTAGGGAGAGCAGGCATAGGGAACACATGTCTTTATTTCGCCCTGAGAATCACCAACTGCTCTGGGCAGACTCCTTTCAGCATGTAGTCTGGAGGAGTACAGCGGGGAATCAAAATTATGTTGACTATTAAAACGACAAAGGCTGGTGTGAAACCGTGATGTGGATTCTTAATCCCACGCACATTTGCTAAGGCCAGAACCAAGGGGAAGATGACAGATCTTCAATCAGGATTCACACTTGGAACACCTTCCAAAAACAATTTCATCTGACAGGTGCGGCCTACCAAGTCAGGTCAAGGGTAGCAGAGCCAGCCTGGCGGCTTTGTTCTTTTCTGCTACTTCTTTACTTAATAAACCCTGAAAGTTAAGAGGCTGGGTGCTTAGGAAAAGTTTCGAGTCCCCATTCTCCCAGTCTGCAGTGATGAGGCCGGAGAGGCCCACATGTGCCCATCGGAACAGGTGGAAGGTGGCAGGCGAGAAAAAATACCAAACCCTGAACCACCTGCTCCATTTCCGCCTGCCCTGCTGACCTCTCAGACTGACCTGGTCTGGTCTCCCTCCAAGATTTCAGACCATCAGACTGCCCGACAGGATCATATAAACCGCGAGCAAGACAAAGTGCTCGCTTCTGCTCTCGCTGGGATGCGCTGGTGTGTCTGGAGGTTGTGGTCATGCAGCTGACAACTTTTTACCTTTTACAGTTCGCACCTGTAATTCTCAAACGCTCCTGGTCTAACAGCCAAGTTTTTGGGGCTCCACACTGCGGCCAGCACTTCACTTCACGTTCTGTTGCCAACCCTCTGCTTCCCTTCCCTCCCTGGAAAATTCGTAGGACTTCACCATAAAATTTTTAAATACAAGTTTAATCTGTATTTAATACTGGAAATACTGGGATAATACTGGGAGACCATCATTCATTAAATGCCACCAGAAAAAAAAAAAAGCTGGTTGCGGTTTAGTTCAAATCATTAGCCATCGGTAAGTAAGTACCTTGGGATGGCCTCTTTCTAATCACTTTGATAAGTTTTAAATGCCCTGGGCCAGTACCCGGAACTAGCTGAACTTTTGCCTAAATAAAAAATGAGTCACGTATTTGAAAAATTCCACTTCCACTGATTTTAACTGATTTCTTAAATATCCGGCGCCTGCTGATTTGTCATCTGTCATAATTTCACAGCCCTACCCCGTCCTCCAGATGGGGTTTTTAACTGGAAACAGCAAGTGGCCCTCCCCTGAGGGGGGGCACCTTCCGAGGTAAGGGGTGGCAGGAAGACCCCCCTCTGCCCTGGTTAACACTTAAATGAGAAGCCTCTGATCCTGAATACTTCCTCAATCTCACTGTAATCATCTGAGTCGAAAACTCACCTGTGCCTGCCACAGCCCGAGCGTGTTTCCTGGGATGAAAACACCGGTTACTTTTATGGGGAAGAAAAAAAAAAAAAAAAACCTCCATCACTACAGGAAACATAATGGGGCTGAATGAGTATGATTATCTGCTCTTCCAGAAAATGACGCTTTTCGAGTCTTTTTATAAACCCTTGATTTCCCACGAATCTTACCAGAGGCGGAAGGAGGGAGAGCAAGTGAGGGAGATAAGGCCTCAAAGAGAAAAAAAAAAAATTTTCCAGAAACTCGGGACCCACGAGGAAGAGTTAAGAGACAGCAGTTAAAAGGTTTACCCCAAATCCCCCTTACCTCGGTTAGGTATTTGGAGGCGCCCACTTGAGAAACTAACACCATTCACAGCCCCGGTAGCAATTTACACTGCAAGGCTCCAGGGCTCCAGGGCCTCCCTCTTTTTAATGTAAAACTGAAATAAGGAGTGTCCGGCTACTCCCCACCGCGCCGCTTAAAGCCACAGGGCGGCTCGCGCTCCTCTCCCAGGCTATGGAGATTCCAGGCGCTCAGAACCGCTCCGCCCTGGAGACCTGCGGAGGCCACCGGCTCTCCCCGAGGGCACGTCCCCCAGCCCTGGCTGCCTGCTCCCAGTCCCGAGCCGGCGGAGGGGGCGCCGGGGCAGTGACCCCTGCACGGCGGCGCCGAGTCCGCAGCAGGCGAGGCGAGCGGCCCGGAGCCCGGCTGCGCACGGGAGCGCTGCGCGCCGGGTCTGCGAGCCCTCCCCGGTCCCCTCCCTCCCGTGCCCGCGGCCCTCCCCCGCTGCCGAGGCCATCCGCCGCACAGTAGCAAGGTTGTCTCCTCGTCTACTCCCTTCCCTTAAACTCACCAAACCAGATTTTTACTCCCAACACTGGCAACTTCCCGTAAATCTGCACTGAAATTGTATCCTGCTCGCTGAGCCTCGGCTGGCGCAAGGCCAGCGCAACATTCCTGTTGTTTGAGGAGCCACGGATACCTTAGCCGAAGGTTAAAACAGAGATCGGCCTGGAGGGGCGCGGGCTGGGGGCCTCACCGGGTGGGCTCCTGCCTCCGCTCAGAGAGTCCCATCCGTTTCGGACGTCCAGCACCGGCCCCACGAGCGGCACCTGCTCCACCTGAGGACCTGGGTCCCCGCCCTGCTCGGGGATACCGGGCCGGAGCCAGGCTGGAGGGCTCAGGACCCTGCGGCCGATCGGTGCCACCCACCTCCGCGCTCCCACTCGCGAAGACGGCGCCGAAGCAGGTAGGCAGGGTCCCGCGTGCGCCCGCCTCCCCGAGTGTCCTCACCTGGGCCAGAGCATGGCCGGGACAGCGCAGGAAGGAACGTCACGCGGACGCAGCCCTGACCTTTGCCGGGGCCTTCGCCGCGGGGCCTGGGGCCTGGGCGCTGCCGACTCTCCAGTGGCCCGCGTTCGTGCGCCCTGACCTCGAGTTACAGCTGGTTTCTAGAAAGGGAACAAAAAACACTGCATTTAGAAACTGCAGCCCGGCCCTCTCCTAACCTTGCCTGGTCCCCGGGGAGCTGGCTCGCGCCCCCACCGCAGCCCCATCCCGCAGCCCGCGCCCCACCCCCGCCGCCTTACCTGTTTATACAGGCGTGCAGGAGCCTCCCGCGTTTCAGCCGAGCCCCGGGCCGCGGGCTAGGCGCCGAATGGGTCAACGGGAATCCAATTCGGTGACTAAACAAACTAGAAGAGGAAGCAGGCACCACCAGGAACCTGAAACGGAGTTGTGATTTCGGTGCAGTGTCATTCAACTGAAATCAACCGAAAAGAAGCAAGAAAAAAAAAAAGTTTCTCATCGGGCTCCTGTCTAGCGAGGGGTTTGTTCCAGAGTTCGGTGCAGGCTAAGGGAGTTTCACATACAGAATGCTAGGACCCCACCAGGCCGGGGCGGGGGGTGGGGGCGTCAGGATTTCTTGTTGTGCTGTTTATTTACTGAGCCGAGAGGAGGGTGACGTCAGAAAGAAGTGGGCTCTGGGGGCAGGGTTTGGCCGGGCTGTTAAGACACCGCTTGGGACACCTGCGGTTTGAATCTCCCTGCTTCGGATACCAGCTCCGGGCTAATGCACACTGAGGGGCAGAGGGGATGGCTCAAGGACTTGGGGCCCTGGCCTCACCTTGTGCAGCCCTGGGCAGGTGTGTGAGGAGTAACCCAGCAAAGCTCTCTGTCACTCCCTTTACCTCTCCAATAAATGAGTAAGACAATGTTTTAAATAAGGTCTAGACCCAGGGCGGCCACTCACCAGCCTTGAGGCCATCAGCGAGTTATTGGACCTTCCCTCTGCTTCTGAAATACCCCAGTGATGAGATGTCTGCAGTCTTGAAGGCAACGGGAAATCAAGTCTGTAAAGGGGTGTCCGACTACGTTTCATTTCTCTTGATAGTGACAAGAGCCCTAGAGACATGTGCTGAGTGTTCCCTGAAGTTCACGGAACAGCAGCAGCCCACCCTGTGCGTGCTTCCTTCTGATCTGGACTCTGACACTTGACCTGCTGTCTTGCCACCCAGTTCAGTGAGAAGCCGGTGCTGGACAGGTAGCGACCACTGTTGTGTAAAAAGCAGTGTGAGCTAGGGGAAGATGTTTAAAATGTCCCGTGAATATTTTTTAAAGATTTATTTTATTTATTTGAAAGAGTTACAGAGAGAGGTCGAGACACAGAGAGGTCTTCCATCTGCTGGTTCACTCCCCAGATGGCCACAACGGCTGAAACTGCCCCAATCCGAAGCCAGGAACCAGGAGCTTCCTCCGGGTCTCCCACGTGGGTGCAGGGGCCCGAGGACTTGGGCCATCTTCCACTGCTATCCCAGGCCATAGCAGAGAGCTGGATTGGAAGAGGAGCAGCTGAGACTAGAACCGGTGCTTCAGGCCAGGGCTTTAACCGGCTGCGCCACAGCGCCGGCCTCCACCCTCTATCCCTAGCTATCTTCACGTTTACAGAAAGAAACCATAATCCTATCACATTCACAGTGGAGCGCTCTCACCAGCTGACCCGAGCTGATCCATCCAGCCTTTATTCCTCATCTCACGGATGAGTCCGGAATTCCGTAGAGTGGTGAGGCCAGGTCTAGTCTCCAGGTCTAGTTAGATCTAAACAGCAGCATCTACTACCTTCAGGGAAAAGCATTCCTTAAGACCAGGGAAGGGGCCGGCGCCGTGGCTCGATAGGCTAATCCTCCACCTTGCGGCGCCGGCACACCGGGTTCTAGTCCCGGTCGGGGCGCCGGATTCTGTCCCGGTTGCCCCTCTTCCAGGCCAGCTCTCTGCTATGGCCAGGGAGTGCAGTGGAGGATGGCCCAGGTCCTTGGGCCCTGCACCCCATGGGAGACCAGGAAAAAGCACCTGGATCCTGGCTCCTGCCATCGGATCAGTGCGGTGCGCCGGCTGCAGCGGCGGCCATTGGAGGGTGAACCAACGGCAAAAGGAAGACCTTTCTCTCTCTGTCTCTCTCTCACTGTCCACTCTGCCTGTCAAAAAAAAAAAAAAAAAAAAAAAAAAAAAAAAAGACCAGGGAAGGGTTCTGAAACATAGATCCTTTTGGGTTCATGTCTTCTTCTATGGCAACATCGAACCTAGACCATTCCCGGAGTTTCTGAATGTGGATCCGTTCCTGGTCCACGCAGGCCACTGTACACTGTGAACAGCGGGTGGTGAGAATCCTGCGTTCTCTCGCCACACCAGGCATGCACAAGGCTCCATAGCTGTAAGACAGCCAGAAAACCCAGCTCCGTGTTGGCCGGACTTTGTCTCACTGGCAGGGACCCTCTGAGCTAAGGGGCTCAGGTGGGAACATTGTCTGGCTCACCCATGTTTCCACTTGGGGGCATGTTTTCCCATAGGAAAGCCTGAGGAATGATGACCAGGAATGGTAAGCAGGTGTGGAAGTGTGGAAGGCAGGGCAGCCCTGGAGGAGGCCCTGGACCAGGAAGTCAGCTCCCTGGCCCTTCTGAGCTGCTTACTTGCTCTCAAAGGTGCCTGGCTTTTCTGCTCCTTTCTCAGTTTTACTCACTGGCACCTGTGAAATGGGTATAATTCTTATTCCTAACTACTTCCCACTGCCCAGGGATGTGGTGGAAAGAAAACATCTTTTAAGATGCAGGCTATAGCAAAAGGAATGTTACCATTCATCATTTCTTTTTTGTGGCTGACTTTGATGCCTGGTTTTTGTTTGTTTATTTGTTATCCTCAGGCAAATTCCATTCTTGGGGGCATTTTTGTCTTCCAGGCCCCTTGCCTTTTGCATTCCTTCTGCCTTGGAGGCAGTGTTCTTGACTACAAAGAACATGGGAAACATTGCTTTCCCCTAGACTTGACTTTGAACTTCAGTGTTACTTCTTAGCTGTGTGAGGCGGACCATACTGCTTCAGGTTCTGCCTTTACAAAATGGTAACATCCACCTCTGTGGATTTCTCTGTGAGTTAAATGAGCGATGAACTCTCAGCACGATTCTTGGCACATAGGAGGTAATCTAGAGCTGCCATTTTCCATTTGTACCTGGAAAAAAACCTACTCCTTGGCTCACAAAGAATTTTCTTTCCCATAATTTACATCTTAGATTAAGTAACACTACCCAAGACACCCTAAAGGAAAACAAGCTTCTGATCTTGGGAGAGAACCACAATATAATAATAAACACTCCCATAGCATTTAGAATGACAGACACGGGGCAAGTTCATGGAAAGAACAGGTGTTTAGCAGTTACCGTACCTGAGTTCCATATCAGAGTATCTGGGCTTGATTCCTGACTCCAGCTTTCTGCCTGTGTAGACCCTGGGAGATGGCAATGATGGCTCAAGTAATCGGGTTCCTGCTACCCACATGGGAGACCTGGATTGTAGTCCTACCTCCTGGCTTCAGTCTCCGCCTAGCGCTGGGGGGCAAACTAATGACTGGAAGCGCTCGCTCTCTCTCTCCCTCTCTCCCTCCCTCTCTATCTCTCTCTCCCTTCTCTCCCTATCACTTACCTTTCAAATAAATACATATTTTTAAAGTAATGAAATACACTTTAAATTTTCATGGGAAAATTAGAAAGTTTGTTTTGGTACAAAATAATTTTTTAAATCTATCTGTACTTTTTTCATAGTATACATTTTCCACGAACTTTTTGAAGGTTCCTTGTATTATCGCCTTTGATCATCACAACTGTGTGAGGTAAATAGGGGTAACGCCAATTCATTTACAGCGCCGTGTTGCACAGAAGAAACTGATGTTCTCAGCAACTGCTCCAGGTTACTAGTAAGTAGCAGAGCTACATTTTCCCCTGCTTTTCACTATTCCATGCTAGTGGAACTGCATCCAGTTTGGGAGCTGATCAGAGAGCTCCAGAATCTTGGTTTGACTCCTCGTTGTGCAGGGGCCAGGAGGCCAGGAGGACCTGGCCAAGGGTTTACACCCTATGCATTGCGGAGGCATGGACACCTACAATGAACCCCACCAAAGATCAGTGTCCCGAGACAAGTGAGGTGTCCTGACCATAGTAAGTGGCCAATTCTGTGAAGAGCAGAGGGCCAGCGAGACCCAGAATTGGGCTGGAAGTCAGCGGGGTCAGGGGCAAGTTCCCCAACTCTGCAGGCCTCAGCTTGCTGCCAGGGACAGGACCCAGCTGTAGGGTCATCGTGAGAATGAAGTGAGATGACACGAATCAACGCACGGCGCTCAACACAGTGCAAGTTTTCAATACTCATCAGTCAGTTTTCTTAAAGATCACAGACGAACTCCAAGCATTCAGTAAAAGGCTATATTCCTTTTCTGCCTCAAAAGCAACCAAAAAAAAAAATTAAAGACCAAGTACGAAAATGGTCCACGTGAGGCCTAAACAGGCTGTGTAGTAAATAAACACACCGAGCGTAGATCAATGCCTGGCAATGCAATGGCTGCGTAATCCGTTTGCTGATGTCACTGTTGGTATTTTCCTATGTGGTGGTGACTTATGGCAGTGCTGAAGTCGTGATAAACAACTGACTTTCACTTGGGGCGCCCTGTGCTTTTTCATTTCCTATGGGAGCTGACCTTTTGGACGTAAATACCGGCAGCATCTTCTCAATGATTTTACTTTCTCCTCCTTCCCCTCATTCCCCCTAACTGGAACTGAAACAGAAGAATTACTGCTAGGTGGAATTTAGCCAGTGACCTGCACCCGAGCTTCCCTCAGAGGCTGGGGACATTTTCCCACCAGAGATTACTCAGAAAACAAGCCCTGTTTGAATCCAGAACATGCATCTTGACCCAGACAAACCCCTCAGCGCCACGGCTTCTACAGCCTCTCCTTTGTCCATATGGTGGCCGTATCCGTGTGAGCCTATTCTAAAAAACTTTTCATTTTCAATTTTCATATTAAATCACCACTGGATCTAATATGTGCAAATTTAAGACACATTATTCCAGGGCACTGTAATGCAAAGGATTAAGCCCAGCGGCCAGCCCAGAAGGCAGCCATCCGCCTCTGGGATGAGGCAGGCCATTCAGAAGTCTATTAGAAGGGAGTCTGGGTTTGTGGTTTCCATGCCACACCATAGGAGGGCCCCTAACTGAATTTTAAAAATGCACTGAGTTCACAGAAAAGGGAATTAAGTATAGCAGGGGTTCACTCCAAACATTAATCTCAGGAGCCAAATCCTTCATTTTGAGAGAGGCCTTCCATGCAAGGAGTCCCTTGACCTGCCTCCTCCTTGCACACACAGCGCTGCCAAAGTCTGCCCCGTGGAGATGGAGGGAGTGC